AGCCATCTAGTCTGGGACTTTTTTTGGTAGGTAGATTTCTTATGACTGACTCAATTTCCTGGGTTGTTATTGGTCTGTTGAGAGTTTTAATTTTTTCTTGTGTCAACCTTCAGAGACTGTGTGATGTCAGAAAGCTTCCATTTCCATTAGGCTTTCTAGTTTATTTCATACAGATTTTTATAGTAATCTCTGATAATCTTTTGAATTTCTCCACGGTCAGTAGTGACTTCATCCTTTGCATTTCTCATTGTATATATTTGGGCTTTCTCTTTCTCTTTTTAAGTCAATATGATCAGGAGACTGTCAATCTTATTTATCCTTTTAAAGAAACAGTTTTTGGTCTTGTTGATCCTTTCTGCAGTATTTTCTCTTCAATATCCTACAACTGTGATTTTTATCTTGGTGTTCTGGAGTCTTCTGCTGAAGTTAGGATTTAGGTGATCTTGCCTTTCCAGTTCCTTTAGGTGTAATGTTAGGCTGACTACTTGTGATCTTTCTGTTTTCTTGATTTGTGTGTAATGCTATGAATTTTTCTCTTAACACTGCTTTCATGGCATCCCAGATATTTTGATAAGATGTGACTTTGTTTTCGTTTGTTTCTAGGAATCTTTTTATTTCTATCTTGATTTCCATGTTGACTTAGAAGTCATTCAACAGCATGTTGTGTAGTGTCCATGTCTTTGTATTTTGGGGGTGGGAATCTTGTTGGTGGTGATATTTATTTTTATTCCATTGTGATCTGAGAAGATGCATGGTATTATTTCTATCTTTTGAAATTTGCTCATGGTTGATTTCTGTCTGAGAATGTAATTGATCTTGCAGTATGTTGCATGTGCTGATGAGTAGAAAGTATACTCTGTGGTTGTTGAGTGAAGTGTTCTATAGATGTCTATTAAGTCCATTCAACCAAAGTACCAGATCTCCATGTTGATTTTTTTTTGCCTCGATGGTCTATCTAAAGCTGTTAGTGTGGTATTTAGATTTTCAGCTATGATTGTGTGAAAACCAATGTCCTCCTTAAGTTTGCTTAGTAGTTGTCTCATAAAATCTGGTGCTCCTATGTTGGATGCATATATGTTTAGTATAGCTATTTCTTGCTGGAGAATTGGACCTTTTATCATTATGTGGTATCTTTCCATGTCCTTTTAAACTTTTGATGGCTTGAAGATATTAGAATAAATGCTCCTGCTTTCTTCTGTTTTGCATTCACTTGAAAGGTCGTTTCCTAGCCTCTAACCTTGAATCTGTGGGTGTCTTTTGCAATGAGATGAGTTTCCTGGAGGGAGAGGATTGTTGGATCATGGTGGTTTTTTAAAAATCTAATTTGCCACTCTTTGTCTCTTCAGTGGTGCATTTTAGTCCATTCACATTCAAGGTGATTATTTTTATTTATTTTAATTTTTTGAGTTGGAGTCTTACTCTGTCGCCCAGACTGTTATGCAGTAGCTGCTCCCGGCCACCGCAGCCTCGCCTGCTGGGCTCCGGCGATCCTTCTGCCTCAGCCTTCCGAGTAGTAGGAACTACAGGCGTGCGCTACCACGCCCGGCTGATTTTTTGACTTATTGTAGAGATGAGGTCTCACTGCCCAGGCGGGTCTCGAACCTGAAGGCTCAGGCAATCTACTCACCTCAGCCTCCCAAAGGCGTGGGATTACAGGCTGAGCCACCGAGCCTGGCTTCAAGGTGATTATTGATATGTGAGAGTTTATCCCTGTCATAGGGCTCTTAGGGGACTGCTTTTTTTTCTTTTAAGTTTTGCATTTATATATGTGTGTTTTCATTTTTGCAAGTGCTCTGTATGTTTTGTTAACTCTGTGTTTGCCTGTCCTTTTGTAATGTGCATGGCCTTTTTCTTTGTCTCCTGTGCTCAGTATCTTCTTAAGCATCTGGAGGCGCACATTCTCTTAGGGATTGGGTATCTAGGAAGGATTTTAATTTTCTGTCACTGATGAAGCTTAGCTTGGTTGGATAGGAAATTTTTGGTTGGAATTGCTTATCTATAAGAATATTGTAAATTGAACTCCAGTCCCTTCCGGCTTGTAGTGTTTCTGCAGGTAAGTCTGGAGCAATTCTGATGCGTTCTTCCCAGTAGGTAGTCTGACCTTTCCCTCTTGCTGCTTTGGAATTTTTTTCTTTTTGTGTTTACTTTTTGGAGATGGATCACTATATGTCTTGCTGGTGGTCTTCTCATGTAATTTTTTGCCAGGTTTCTCAATCTCTTGCGCTTGGATGGTCATCTCTCTAGCAAGGAGGGCAAGGTTCTCTTGGATGACCTTATGGAGTATTTGTTCCATGGTGTTCTTCCTTTTCTGCTCTGGGGATACCAATGAGGTATAGGTTTGTTTTTTTGACAGTGTCACAATGCTCTCAGAAGTTCTTTTACTTCTTTTTGAGTTTTTTTCCTATGTTTTTAACAAACTTTGTGAATTCCATATTTTGGTCTTCAGGGTCTGAGATTCTTTCCTCTGCGTGGTTGAGGCTGTTCCTAATACTTGTTATTTGTTATTGATTTTGAGGCTGGAGCTCTTTATTTCCAATATTTCAGAATAGACTTTTACTTACTATGCAATTTGAGTTTCACTTCATATTTCTCTTGATTCCTGTTCATTTGTACCATTCTCTGATTTCTGTGGTTGTCACCTGGGGCAAGTCGTTCTGGGGGGTTCCATTGTTTGTGCTCTGATGGCTGCTTTTTCGTGCGCTGTCTCCTTAAAATTCTGAGTTACTTGCGTTTCTCCATTCATCTTGCCTTAGTGAGACAGGAAGGAGCTCCACTCTGTGGTAGGTTCTTGTTACTGCAGATTTTGTCTCCTGCTGCTAAACTAGTCAGGTCAGTTTTCAGCCACCTGCTAGTCATAGCTGATGATTGGTGGGGAGGGGGTAAACCGACCCCACCATGTCCCAGAATCGCTCATGCCCCTCCCTCACCCAGCATGATCTCAGCTCCTATACACACCTAGCTTACTGTGAGGGGGTGGGGTGCCCAGATTCCTGCCCTGCCTTTTTGATCTCTGTGTTTTCAAGGAGACCCCTGCTGGGTGTGGGGGAGTTTCACCTTTTCAAACGCATTCAGGGTGCCTCTTTTAAACTGTGGCTAGATTCCCACTCTCCTGTCCTGCAAGAGAGGAGCTGGTCTGTTGCTCCACCAGGTGCTGGCAGTGGGCATGTCAGTCAGATTCATTCTGCAGGCTGGCTTTTCCAGCATGGGATCTGCTCCCACCTTGGCTCTGGTGCCCACCACTGCTTCCTAACTAGGTTTCCTCCCACCTGAAACTGATTATTCGAGCACTGTTGGAGGGAGTGAACCAATTCAAAGCATATTATAACCACTCACTCCCTCCTTCTCCAAATAGATCTTCTTTTTCAGTACACACCTGGTATAGGACAGGGGATGGGGTGCCTGGAATTCTGCACCTGCCATGGCTTTCTGGACTTAGAGAGACCTTCTCTAGATTCATGGTGTTTAACCCATCCAAAAGTGCTTAGGGTGTCTCCCTTTAACAGCAGTGGAATCCTACTCTGTTTTGCTATGTGAGAATGGCCCCGATCTGCTGTTCCACAGTGGCCATCTTGGCTCCCTCCCTTACTTGCTTTTTAACTGGCTATATTGGAGTGTAAATCTTCTAGATCAAATGGTTAGAATTACTTTTATAGGTTCTATGTGTTAATGCCCTCAAATCAAACCAAACCCCTGGCATGTATTGTTTATGACTTCACATTGATCCAACATGTATAAGCACTTAAATTTAAGTTCTGTGCTATTTCTCTTGGGTTTAATGAAGCTTTTATGGTATAACTAAATAGTGTCTGTTGAAAATAGTCTTTCTTCCCATCACAGTCTTTTAAGGTCTTCACAGAAAGAATTTTTAGACAACTTCTTTCTGGCAGTTATTCTTCAATGGCGTAAGGAGACTCCATATGAGTGCAAGTCTGAAGACTTTTTTCTTGCCTTGATTTTGTCCTCATAGCTGACGGATCTTGGATCACCTCCTGGGCCATTCTCTCCTCATCTGTAGAATGATGGGACTGGCCTAGATCATCTGGAAGCTCTCTTTCTGCCCAGAGTTTCTCTGAATCATTGGGCCACTGGCTGTCATGTTAATATCATGTTCATTTGCTGCAGTGCTTCTTTTAATTACATCTCAGAGAGTACATTTTTTTTTTTAAGGTGAATTACTTTGGTCAGAGGCTCATTCTCAGTCATCTTGTCCTTTAAAAAATTTTGCTCTACCAACCACAAAGATATTAGGATAGCATGCCCCATGTATTACATCTCTACCTTAGCTCAATAATTGTTTGAAATAATTGAGGAAAACTGATTATAATCTAGTCACTGACATGGGTGCTGATTATCATGCTGTGTTCCTAGCAATCTCACCTATCTCATAAATGCTACAAAGTACGTCAAGGATAGTCTGATGCTGCTTTGTTTTGCTCAGGTAGGTTGAGCAGAATCTTGGGAAAATAAGCATGATGTCAGGTTTGGAAAAGGAGCAAGTTGGCAAAAGAAGAGTATTTGCTTTGTTGATGGAGAGTTGAGCTCACTGATACCCCTAGTCTAGTAAACTTTATTAGGCTTCCTGACTTCCCTGCCTTTGCTCAGTCAGCAGGAACTTTCTCGCCTGTACTTCCTGAGGCGATTTGAAGTCTACCACATGACTTTTTATGTATAGTAAATAATAAAGTGTTAACTGAAGTAAAGGTGAAAAATGAGCTTGGTCCTCAATGGCTTGTGTGTGGTGTTATTCCAAAATATTTTGCTCTATACATGCATAGTAATGCATTTCAGGAACACAACATTTATTGGAAAGAGGGTGAGTGTCTAAGTCTGGAGGCTATGTAGTCTTTTTGGATCTTAACTTCTAGTTATCCCTGGATTCATAGCTAGCCACTTAGGTTATTTTCAGGGTGGCATATATGCTGTGTAACCCAAGTAGTGGCGTCAGCGAATGTGGTACACATTCGACTAGTGAAGAATTGTGTGGACTTGTTTTGATTCAGGTAAGAAGAGTCCCTGGGTCAAGTGGTCACCTTCATAAAACTGAAGACGGTGACTGGGAGTGGAGTGACGATGAGATGGATGAAAAAAGTGAAGAAGGAAAAGCAGCTTTTTCTCAAGAAAAGGTAAATGACATTGAGGACAATTAGCTAATCTGTATAAATTTAATTTTTGTGGGTTTTTGCGTGAATGTATTAATGGATACATCATTGTTTTACAGTCACGAAGAGTAAGAGAAGAAAATCCAGAGGTGAGCTGTGGTTATTTTCTTATTTTTTTTCCTACCACTTCATTTCCTTCTTGAGATATAAGCGTCTGATCCATGTGGGGTAGACATTTCAAAATCTGATGAAGTAGGAAAAAAAGGACATAGAGTTTAAAGGTTTTGATTCTGTTTGAATTACTTTGGGCTACATAAATCAGGGCAAATTACTTTCTGGGCCTCAGTTTCCTTCTCTGTTAGTCGGGGATAATCCTAGTACTCAGGAAGTTGCCATGTGTATTGATTGAATCATGTACATAAAACACTCCATGGAGTCCTTGACACAGGTCATACATTAATTTTAGTTCTTAGTATTGCTATCATTTAGAAAACATAGTAGGCATACAGGCAATATTTCTTCTGGGTTTTTATATTACAATAAAGCAAATATGAAAATAGGTAGAAACTTTAGGTCCATGGGTTTCGAATTTTAAATCTTCGTGTAACTTAGTAGGCAAGGGGCACTCTTTTAACAGCTTCTCTTTGAGATCTGGTCATCTTTTGATTAAGAGATCATTTTTTATTTACTTCCTCCATCTGATTAATTATCCTAATGCTTAATGACTAATGATGACTGTAGTTCACTAGACTTGCCAATTCTCCTAGAGGAAATTTGAGCATATTTAAATAGGTCCAAATATTTTACAGACCTAGTAATTAATGAATACCTTTGATAAGTTCTCATTAAGAAAACAGAAAACTTTGGGTCACAAGTGGTATTCATCCAAACTTTTTTTTTTTTTTGTATTAGCAGACATTTTCTCCTGATTCAAGGGAGTAAATCTCATTGATTTTAAGTGGTTATAGCCAGCTGGGCCTTGTGAGGAGGGCAGCAGAGACACAGGCCACCCTTCTTGATCTTCTTTCCTCTCTCTCTTTTTTCATTATCGTTCATGTCACATGGATAGGGATTTTTCAGCCTGCCTATCTCCCAATGGTAGCTCTCTTTCAGATTCTGTTTTCTTCTATGTTAATGATATGAGCTAATCTCTCCATTTCAGACATAAAATATAAGCATTGGTCAAGGTCCCCATTCCACTGTGTTAGGAACAGTGGTGATGAACCCTAACATGGGACATGTTGGCTACACAGATGTTGTGCTGGGTTTTTCTTAACCAGGTATCCTAAACTCTGCTCTCTCTTTGCATACTTTCCCATTTTATTTAATCCAGGTTACTTATTTATTTATTTCTAAGAGTATCTCTAAATAAGTGTCAGTTCTGCTTAGAAATAGAAAAAAATAACAGGTTCAAGTATCATCATTGACTAAAAAAGCATTTGTTGTTGATTCTCTGTAAATCTTCACTGGATGATATTCATTGCATCCTAACTTGCTAATACAGACTGATAGATGTAGGTCTTTTCTCATGAGGATTTGTTAATATTTTACTATGTGAGTACTGAAATTGCTGTGATAACTTATTTGCTACTTGAACAATAACCGTATCTTTTGGCAAGAGTTTCTTCTTCATGGACGGGAAAGGGAACAGTATATAGCATGCTTTGAGTTGATCCTTAAGCAGCACCATTGACCTTCTTGAGTGGGCTTTGAAAATCATAGGGACTTCACTGCATCTAGACTCATTTGATTTCCCAATGGCTTGTCTCTTTTCATATTTGTTTATCATTAAGGAAGGTTAGAATGGGCCTCTTGTTTATATGACACGATGTATGTGTTTGTATGTAAACACTTCCACCAAATTTTAGGAATACCAGTTCCACCTGCTGCTCCACAACTTCTCAGGCCAGTTTTTTGACGCCCTTTCCTTTTGACAGCATTGGCGTTTGAGTATCCTGAGTTGTGTTAAGAGACACCAGGATGAAGTTCCCTGTGACCTTTTAGCTTTTTAGTAAAGTAGCCCTCTGATTTGCCAGCTACCTCAAACTGCTTCCTATAAGCGAAGCATAATGTATTTTCTTTATCTATTACAAAAAATGCTAAATATGTTAAATATTCACCGAATATATATTATATGTCTTCTACGTGCACTGTTTTAGTAGGTTTTGAGAAAAACAGAGCAAAATCCTTTTCCTTGCAGAGCTTATATTCTAATGGGAATAGATAAACAATATATAATAGCCTTAATAAGTAAGTAAATTATGTGATTTGTTACAATGGAATAGGAGCAATAGAAAAAATAGAATGAGATGCACAGAGTGTGGGAGGGGTGCAGGGAGTATGGGAGGAGGTTGTAATTTTAAATGAGGCATTGGTCAAGATAGGCCTTAATGAGAAGAGACATAGAATAAAGAGTTGAAAAATATATAGGATAATTAAGTAAAATAAAAACTGAAAGGCCACTTGTAACTTGCTGTCTCCCTCACCTCTGTGACTGTCATTTCTTTCCACAGAGATTATTGCTTTGCAGTGTTTTCTCCCAGACCTTTTTCTGTTTGTTTCCATACAAATATGTACATTAAAAATCTGGCATATGATTTTAAAAACATGAATAGAATTATAAAAACTACAAAATATTTTTTCTACTTGTCTTATAGTTTTGGAAATCTTGCCACATTAGATATTATTATGCCTTTTTATTTTATTTTATTTTGAGTCAGATTCTCATCCATTGCCCAGGCAGAAGTACATTGGCACAATCATGGTTCACTGTAGCCTTGAGCTCCTAGGCTCAAGTGATCCTCTTGTCTCAGCTTCCTGAGTAATCAACTACAGGCGTACACCACCATGCCTGGCTAAGTTTTAAAAATGTTTTGTAGAGATGAGGTCTTGCTATGCCGCCTAGGTTGGTCTTGAATTCCTGGACTCAAGCATTCGGCCGTCTCAGCCTTCCAAAGTGCTGGGATTTGACTGGGCACGGTGTCTAAAGCCTACAATCCCAGCACTTTGGACGGCCGAGGCAAGAGGATTGCCTGAGCCCAGGGGTTCGAGACCAGCCTTGGCAATTTGGTGAGACCCCATCTCTACAATAAATGAAAAAATGAGCCAGGTGTGGTAGCACATGCCTGTAGTTCCGGCTACTTGAAAGGCTGAGGTGCCTCTTTATTTTTAACTGCTACAGAGAATTACACTGGATGGAAAGAAATGATTTATTGAACCCTTTCCTTCCTGGTGGGCACTTAGGTTGCTATTACAGACATCATTCCATTAACTTTTTTGTGTATGCATTTTGGGGGACACATAAACAAGTCAAGTACAGATACTTAAGACTTGTGATTGCTGAAGTGTCCACTGATTTTGAGTTTTTGTAGTTGCTATCAGTAGCTGTACCAATGTTTACAGCCTCTGACAGTGTACCTTGTATCTTTAAACACCTTAGAGAGTGCAGATGCTTATCTGTGCCAAATGACACATTTAAATGTCAGAGTATTTCCATTTTAATAAGCTTTTCAGTAATGCTTGTCATTTAAATTGCAGCTCGGTTGTTTTTTGACTATAGGCCACTAGAAGACTGTGATGGTATTTTATTCATGTTTGTGTCCCCTTCTTATCTAGTAGACACTCTGTATGTGTTCACTAGTGACACGAATACCGATGCACTGAAACACAAGCATTGAAGAAGCGCTCGAATAGGCATGTCGTATTTATGACTAGGTCAGAAGTGGGGATAAAGATCAGAAAACATTGTATAACTGAGGTGAAGTCCAGAATAAGTAGCCTTAGCAGTATTAGGCTCAGACAGTGTAATAAATGAGGGGTATTTTAGGAATGTTTAATCTGTAAGGGGCAGTTTAGCCTCCTGGAAAGTATGAGGTAGAAAGTCAAGGATTACGTGTTAGTTGGAGAATATTGGGAAGACCAGAGCAGAATGTATGTTAGAGAGACATTGGGAAGATGTGCCTCATCCTGGGTCGTATTTAGAGATGCTTCTAAGAATTTCCACTGTAAACTGTAAGATTTCAGAGTTATACCACTTATCTTGAGATTCATAGCCGTCAACATGGAAAAGTTGATCCTGTCTTCCTAACCTGGTATTTTAGAAATAGCAAGGTATCAGTCACCCGCTAGTAATTAATAATTTATGACAAGTAGATAGTTCATCCTCATTTCATTTGTTTATCATCTTATTCTACTTGCTTGGTGGAAGCCAGTGGAGACTAAAGGTTGATCATAACAACACTGATATTAATAAAGTTAATTAATTAAACAAATATTTAATCTGTGTCTGATTTCTACACAGAACTGTGTTAGGCACTGTGGGAATTATATGAAAGCAAAGAGAGCCTGCTAGCTGGATGCTTTCCATATCCTTGGGGATCTGGGGAAGGGGTGGTATTTACAAGGGCTGATTTCCCTAAGTAGTGTTTCTTAGCTTATATGGCTTCTTAGCTTATAGAAAACGTTTCAACTCTGATCCTATTATTGATCTTCTTTTGACCAGTGGTTTTAGAATATCTTTTTGTCAGACTCTGATATAATAAGCACATGTTTTATGACTTTTTGTCAATTTTGTATTATCCCCGATTTTTTTGTTTGAAAATTAAAAAAAAAAATGAGAGGATCAGGGAGAGCTTTATGAAAAATTGGAAAGCAGACGTTGTCCCTTTCTTCTCCCATTCTGAGATCTTTGCCTCTCTTTTACTTCATTCCATGAAAAATTGGAAAGCAGACGTTGTCCCTTTCTTCTCCCATTCTGAGATCTTTGCCTCTCTTTTACCTCATTCCAGATCCCCATCGAGGTCTATTAGCATTAATCTGTTATTCTCCTTTCCCCTTCTATCACATTGAAAAAGTGAAATTGACTTTAAATTGTAGTTTCATTTAACTGAAGAGGACATTTGCTAAGGCTTCTATTTCCTCCCCAGAAATCTAAGAAATGTTTATTTTTAAATTTTTTATTTATTTAAAGGGTACAAGTGCAGGTTTCTTACATGTATATATTGTGTAGTGGTGAGTACCCATCACCTGAATAGTGAACACTATACCCAGTAGGTAGTTTGTTACCCCTCACCCTCTTCCACTCTCCCATCTTTCATAGATCCAGCGTCCAGTATTTCACTCTGTATGTCAGTGTGTACCCATTGCTTGCTGGGGCTTGTTAAAGCACAGTGCTTTTTGGCGGTAGCACCTCAGTTAGGTGGCATGAAAATAAATGATTCACAACTCTGGTTCCATGTCAGAAAAACTGAACCCTTTAAATAGGTGGGTGCCTAGATTTAATCCACCACTTCTGATTTGGTAGTTTTGGGTGGCATCCAGGCAACTGTGATTTTTAAAAAGCTGCTCACACGATTCTGATTCATGGCTAAGATCGAGGACTGACTAGGAGGACGGCACAAATCTCTCTGAATCCAGAAGTTCAGATTGGAGTCCAGGAAGATTGTGTGCTCAAGATTCTTAAAGATTTTGTTTTAAATGTCTAAAACTTCCAATGAAAAAAGTTTTAGAAATCCCTTGGAAAAGTTGTCCATACTTAGTCAAGTGTAATGAAGCAGGTGGGGAAGGTTTTTGGCTGAAGCCCAGTAGAGCCCACAAGAGATATACTGAAGAATTGTTATCAAGGATTTAGACTAGATTAATTACGGATATGTTTCTGTTTCCCAACGCTGGAATTTTGTTCTGAGGAGAAAATACATTTGGTGTAGATTTAAGTTGTGTTAATTTTATTGAAGATTAGCCATAATGTGAAAACTAATTTTTTTGCTTATTTGCTCATTGCTATTGCCTGATGATTTTTAAGACTGTTAGCATTTAAAAATTATTCTATGAATGCATGTTTTCCATGTGTCTGTCAGTTCTCATGCATGTCTGTTTTATACCAATATGTAGATGGAGAGAAAAATTTGATTGGTCCCTTTAGCTTTACTATTAACTGTAGTCATCACAGACTGTCTTCACTTGGTATTTTCATGGTACAATTTCTAAAAATGTTATTGAAGGTGACTGGCCTTTTGAATAGTTGGGATGAAAGTTAGATTTGTGATCAGAAATCTGCCATGTTTCTGAAAATGAACTTTTAATTTTGGAATAATTTTAGATTTACACAAGTGTTAAAAAGATAGCACAGAGTTCCCTTATACTCCTCACCTGATTCCCCCTACTGGTGATTTCTTATTTATCCCTGGCACATTTGTTACAACTCAGAAACCAACACTGCTACATTTCTATTAGCTAAACCCAAGAATTTATTAGAATATCACTGGTTTGTTCAGTAGTGTCCTTTTTCTTTGCCATGATCACACATTGCATTTAGCTGCCAGTATTTTTGAAAATTAAAAAAAAAAATGAGAGGATCAGGGAGAACTTTATGAAAAATTGGAAAGCAGACGTTGTCCCTTTCTTCTCCCATTCTGAGATCTTTGCCTCTCTTTTACCTCATTCCAGATCCCCATCGAGGTCTATTAGCATTAATCTGTTATTCTCCTTTCCCCTTCTATCAAAACATTCATTCTCTCAAATGTCCATCTTATAGCGGTTTAAAAGCAAAAAAAAAAAAAAAAAAATCTGATAAATTGACAGCTGCTTCATGTGTTAGCTTTCTTATATATCTTTACATTTAAAAGCGCATACCCCAAAGGCCATGTTCAAGTCCCATAGAACAGATCCATAATGGTGACATTTGGAGGAGCACATCAGGTTGTCAAGGAAAGTGTTTTGTATAGGGGTCTTCCTCTCCAGGCTTCCTGTGCATCTCTGCACATTTTCTGAGGAATCACCATATTGCTTGTGCACCAGTGAGAGCAGAGGCTGGTCCCTTCATTAGTTCAGTGGCACACCTTGCTGTGAGGTTGCAGGATGTGTGTGGCCTTCCAGCCCCCAGTCTAGCTCTCCATCCTGATGATTGCATAGGGCAGGAGATGGGGTCTCCCCAGGGGAAAGAGAAGTTGTCACTTCTAAGTAAATGCCACTGAGTTTTCTCAGGTTATAGTAGCTCTTTGACTAAAGTGAGAATATACTATAAGTGCTGATGTGGTCTTTTGGCTGTTGTCTCAAATTTAAATTGAGATTGCAGAATTACCCTGGAAGATTCTTTGTAAGAGATTATTGCAGGCCTAGATCCTCTGTACTGGTTAATGAATACAGGTTGTTTGTTCTTCTAACCTAGTCATTTCCCCTAACATTTTATCATGGCAAATTTCGAACATATAGCAACATTAAAACATTTTATATTGAGCACCATATACCAATCACCAGTGCCGTACTTGCTTTATCACAAATATATCCATTTATTCATTCTTCATTTCACCTTAACTTTCTGATACATTTCAAAGTAAATTGAAGACATCAATACACTTTCCCCTATTATTTCAGTAGAGATATAGTTATTTTTGAAGAGGCACAGAGAGTAAGAATTGTATGCTCTTAAGCTTTAGAATACTCTTGCCACAGGAATTTTTGATGACTTCTGATTATTTTAGGATTGATAGTAAGTTTAGAAATAGCAGATCCTTTTTGTTCAATTTCATTGCTGTTTCTCTTTGAGGTTTTTTTCTGTCTTTTAAGTTTTGCTTCAGGGCAGAGTTCACAGAAGTAGGGCTTGAGGTAAAAATAATTTGGGTGTCACCTTAAAGCCAGGTTTCCAACTTGGAGAGAAAAATATAACCTATCACTCTGGCATTTCTGTTGGAGGAAAATGTCTTTAAAATCCAACTATCCTTAAATATTTTAAAAATATAGTGAATAATTGCTCCAAGTCCCAATGAAAAGGGACAGGTTTTACGAACCCTAACATCCTTTTACTAAGGATCCATTAACTTTAGATGAAATTATGCAATAAGAAAAAGTTGTGCAGGGACATCTTTCAGTTATCAAGTTTAGAATAGCAAATAGTCCATGTCTTTTCACTTTAGCTTAGTGGTTCTCTAAAAGCATAAGGGTCGCCCAGGAACTTGGTAAAGATGCAGATTTTCTCCCATCTCTGTGGAATTCTGAGTTATAGGCGGGGTAGGGCCTGAGGGTCTTTAACACTTGCCCTAGGTGTTCCAGTGCTAGTAGTCAAAGGCCAACACTTTGAGAAATGCTGCTTTAAGATCTTTTGAAATTGTTGTCTCTGACCATTGAGACTTAATGAAATTGGGACACTGACCATGTCTCCTTTTGGCTTTCTTGTATGGCATAACAGTAACCGTGGCTCTCTTAACAGATCGCAGTGAATGCCAGCACTATCCCCGAGCAAATACAGTCCCTCTCTGTGCACGACTCTCAGGTATGTTTCTCTGTCAGTCATTCTGTTTGAGATGCTTTGTAGACAGATCTTTAGAAACAACAACATTTTAGAAAGATAGACAATTTCAGGGTAGTGCTCCCAAATCAGGGGCTTATAAGCTCTCTTTTTAAATAGGTTACTATTGAGCGTGCTTTGCAGGACCTCCAACCTTTAAATGATAGGTTCAAGAGTGAGAATTGATTACCAGACTGCTTCTGAAACTGCTGTACTGTGGAAAAGAAGAGGAAAGAAAATGACTCACCATTCTGTTATATTACTGCCACAAAACACTGGTTAATTGATACTTTTCTTTTTGCTTCTGGTTAGATTTCTGTAACCTATTTTCATAATTCTTTTATCATTGAGTTTTATGGGCCAATTCATCTCTACAACTTGCCTTGTAAAAATAATAGTCCAGTGACTGTGAAATGCATTTATAATGCATATTTATAAAAGTTATATGACAGAAATGTGTGCTGTGAGTCGTGTTGAGTGGTTATGAGGGATGCTGAGTGATCCAGAGTAAGGATCACGGGCATAGGATCAGAGTGCAGGACCACATGTAGGTTTTGCTGTATAATTAATAGGCAAGCCCTTTGTTTTCAGAGTGGTTAGGCTGTTACACATCACCAGCCTTAGGATCATAATTTTTCTCAAAATATGCATATTTTATATAAATTCATTTATATTTTACCTGATCTCTGTTTTATGAAACAGTTATATATTGGAGAGATGATTGGAGCTAGGATTTTGTAGTTGTAGGAACCTGCTTTCGTCAGATAGCCAGTCCTGAGTCCTTATTTTATAGCTGAGGAAGCAAAGAATTGCAGAGGTTACACCACTGGTTAGAGGCAGAGCCAGGATTCAGTTTAGGTCTCTATACTATTTCAGACGACTCAGTAAGGCACCTTGAGATAAACTGTAGGGACTGGTTGAATGATAAAAGGCAAGTTAAGAAAAATAACACATCAGAAGGCAAAGAGAGTAAAGGAAAATGAATTAGGATAACTAGTATTGTATAACATTTTATCATTTATGACTCATTTTCATATGTATTTTATTCTCCTAGCAACCTTTGAAGGCGAGTGTTATCCCTATTTTGTAAATGGAAAAATAGGTTCAGAAAATGGCTTGCTTGTGGTTGCTTCTGGTCAGTGGCAAAACCAAGTCTTGCCTGAAATGTCTTGTTTTTCCTACTCCAACAAAAAAGTTTACTCGTGTCCAGAGAGTCATAAGAATAGGGAGGGGCTATGTATAGAGATATTCACGGCTGATAATCTGTATTCAAGGAAATAGGCTTTAGGTGAAAAAGACAGGAAAGATAGTGGTTTAAGCTACTAGGTTCCATCTTCCTCTGCAATTTAAGGTTTAAGGTACCCAGCCTTTGTATATCTCTATGGCCCAGTGGGTAATAGTCCATGACTTGCATTGCAAGGTGCCACTTCAGATGGCTGACCCTTCTTTGGACTTAATACAGCTTATACTATCTGTTCATAGTGTCCATCCTACAACTGACGCTTTCTGCATGAAGATTCATGTCCACAATTGTGATGGAAATCGGGCAGCATTCAAACCTTCACATAGAGATGCCATGAGGCCAAATAAGGCTTGCATGAGATCTTGCTTTGAAATTTCCAGAAAGAAAGGGTTGTATGAATCCAGGATATTGTGATTTTATTCATTCCTATCCCCATAAAGTTTATGACACTGTTTGCTGTTTTGTTTTTAAAGGGCCAACCCAATGCTAGTGAAGATTACAGAGAAGCTTCCTGTGCTGTGAACCTTGTTTTAAGATTAAGGTAAATAATACTGCTGTTCATTCTGCATTATTTTTCCAATAGTACAATAATTTGATCTCCTTCATTAACTTTTCATAATAATAGCATAAAGTAAAATTGTTAACTTATTTGATTTCCCTGAACAACCAATGTATGCAGTATTCCCAAGCCTAATTGTGCTCTCCTAATTGCTTGCTAAAGAAGAATAAGAGAGAAAGCACCATATGAGTGTGTCTGCAGGCTCAGTGTACCTATCATTAAATTTTTTCTTTGCCTTTTCTTTCTTGGTTTTTTTTTCTCTTTTTTTCTTTTTACAATGTAAGATCACAGTAAGAGATTTTTAATGAGTTTCTTTCACACTTCAGCAGTCTCTGACAGAAATAAACCATGCTTGTACTACAAGTTGCCTGTTCAGAACATTTTTCAGTGGCAGGTTTGATCAGCCACTGTGGAGAAATGACAGATATATTTTGAAAGAAATCTTCGTCTTCTAGGATATGGATACAAATATGGTGCCTGACAATATAGTCTTTGTAGTTGAGTGAATGAGAGCTGTTTCTATTTTAAGGATTTTTACACTTAAAGATTCATCTTTGTGATATTCTTTGTTAAGAATTTGATATCTTAAGACAAAATAAATTTGTTTAAAGTTAAGTAAACAACTTAATTTACCAGGTCAGTTAGAATACTGTCATGTCTTCGAAGGTATTTTAAAATAAGTAATACACATGTTGTCTTCTGACAATTAAACAAATAAAGCATGTGACTCCTAGACATTATCAGGGCTGTAACTGGAAAAAGTAGGTTCATCCTCAAGGTTAGTTTCCAGTCATCTGAGTTATAGTCTGTCCAAGTAGATTATCGTCACTGTAGTCACTTCTTGCTTCTGATGGCCATTTACAGTCTGCAGTGTATTTTCACATACTTATCAGGGGAATTTATAATAACCCTTGGGGTGATTTAATTCAGAGTTGATTTTCTAGTCAAGAAGTGAAATTATTACAAGACTGTTTTTCTTATGTTTGAAAGTAGCCTTGATTATTATTCACAATTAGTGAATTTAGCAATCGCGAAGGAATGAAATGACCCATTCTCTTTTTGTTTGATTTGGAACCAGGTTTTTTCTTTCATTTATTTTTTTACTTGTTCAATTATTGATTCATTCAGTCCATATTTATGAGGAACCCACTCTGTATGTGCCTGGAACTTCATGCCAGGCTGGGTTTTGTCACTGAGGCACAGTGGTGAGTGAGATTATGGTGAAACTGCAGTCTAGCCCACTGATCATAGTATAGGAAATGACCTTTAGAATCCAGCAGTCCAGTCTCCTACTGGCCTCTATGCATGCTAAAGCTCACTTTTCCTCCTTGATTGCCTCTTTGATATTGAAAATCCTTAATTGTTAGATGGTTCTTCTTCTTCCTTCTAAAGATTCAATTGATCTTCCTGTCTGGGGTCCTATGGGCTCTAATTCTCCCCCTTAGAGCAAATATCAGGCTCTCTGGATAAAAGTTTCCTGGAGAATATGTCAAGACATGTATTCCTGAGTCTTATCTCTTTTGCTGTAGATACTAGAGCATTATAAAACAAATGTATTCCCTTATTTTTCTGAGAGCCGTTTGTACATTTGCAAGACTTGTCCTATTCCTAGACAAAGTAACACAAGTATCTTTAGCCTTGCCTTCGATATACTTTCTGTATAGATTAACATTTAATCTGCATCTGCTTTATTTACCTTTTCTCTCATGGATCTAGGTTGTTATTTTCATAAGTTTGTGGCTTAGATTACTAGTCTTACAAGATGTTCCAGGAAGAAAGGTTTCCATGTTCAAATAAGTTAAGAGACAATGCATGCTATTCATCTGTGTACACACACATACATATGCAGATTTTGGGAAATCACGAGGAATATTAACATATTAAGTATTCTAAGAAGTTCTGCAGGAAAGTAATTTGTTTACCTTTGATGATATAAAATCTATTCAGCCTTGAAACTCATTTTATGCAATTATTTCTCAGTTTTAGCCTTATGTCTTTTGAATGTAGCACCCATATGTAAATATAGGACTGTAGTATTTAAATTCCATCATATTCCAGTGTGTGATCTGAGCATGTGATTTTTGCAATTCATACTATATGTTTCTCCTAAAACAGCCTGAGTTTTCATCACCTTTTGAAGTGCACAGCAAGACTCAGCTGTCAAACAAAACAGCTGTTTTTGTTTATTTTCATTTGAAGGGCAACCCAGCCTAATTCTGAACCGCAACTCATGTTTTCAACTCTAGGTATAACTCTAGGTGTAACTAATTTTTAATTTGTTTCTTGCTCACCATATTCTTCAATCATAATCATCAATGTGTCATATTGGTTACAATGCTTGGATATATGTCATTTGCCAATTTGATGAACTTAATCTTTACCTAAATCTTAAATCTTTGACTAAGGTATGCTAAGGGAGGACCGGGTCTTCTGGCATCTGTTAGATACCACTCACTTTCTGAGTAACTTTGTATAATTAACTGTCAATTTTTGGTACTGTTGTTCAACCAGAAACAAATCCAATAAACTCTTTCTAGTGGACATCTAGTCAACTATTCAGAAGGCTATCATAAAGGGATCTATGAAATGTGTTGCTGAAATGAAAACATACTACATTAATGACATTTTTATGAGTCTAACCACCTAAAAACACTTTCAAATGATAGAAATGAATTCTAGTATGATTTACTCAGTGAACAAGTGCTCAAGACTAATTGTGGTAATCTGCTCAGATTGCCATAAAAAAAAATTGCCACAGACTGGGTGGCAGAAACAGTAGAAATTTATTTTCTCATAGTTCTAGAGATTGGAAGTCAGATCAAGGTGTCAGCATTGTTGGTTTCTGGGGAGGGCTTTTTTCCTTGATGTCTTCTTACCATGTCCTGACATGGTAGAGAGAGTGAGAGTAAGGTCTTTGGTGACTCTTAGGTCCCACCCTCATCACCACGTCTAAACGTAATGACCTCCCAAAGGCCCCATCAATAAATACCATCATATTGAGGGTTAGGTCTTCAGCATATGAATTTGGGGGAGTGGGGACACACACAATTCAGTCCATGGTATCTTTTTCTGGTGGTATCTTCCCCCCCTGTTTATAAGTTATTTGTTTCATCTATTGCTTTTCATATTTGTGAACTTATGAATCTCTCAGAATATATTGTTGAACTGGGGCAGGAGCAGGATGTCCATGTATTTCAGTTTTAGAAATAACTTTTGAGAGTTATAAGTTAAATATTATTAGGTTTTTGTGACCACTCTGTGCTAAAGAGTGACATGTGAGTAAATGTAGACAGTAAATACATTATTCATTATTTCTATAAATATTTATTGAGCATCTACTACATGCATGGCAGTATTCTGGTTGCTGTAATATAGCAGTAGAAAAAAGAAAAGGCAAATTTCTTGCCCTTAAGGAGCTTACATTTTAAGAGCTCGGGAGAGGAAGAAACCAAATATTCAAATTATATACATGATATACCCTGGTGTCTGAAGGAAAAGCTACATCAGGAGGATAAAAGGTAAGCGGGATGTTATTCTATATTATGGAAGGTGTATTAGTTTTTTATTGCTGTATAAAATATTAACACAAATAATGACTTAAGACAACACCCATTTATTATATCATAGTTTCTGTAGGTTGGAAATCTGGGCACAGATTAACTGGGTTCTTTGCTCAGTGTCTCATAAGGCCGAAATTAAGTCATGCTCATCTGGAGCTAATGATCTTCTTCCCAGCATATTTGGGTTATTGGCAGAATTTAGCCCCTTGCAGTTTTAGTCTGAGGTCCTCCACTCTTACAGGCCACACTTCTCTATAGACAGTTCACAGCATGACTCTTGGCTTTTTCAAGACCTCTTCCCTTCTCTTCAAGACCTCAGTCCTTCTGTTAAAGGTTTTCTACCTAATTAAGCCAATCTCACTTAGGATAGTCTCCCTTTTGCTGAACTTAAAATCAACTGATTAGGAACCTTAGTTACATCTTAACCTTTGCCATGGTATATAACTTAATCACAGGAATGGCATTTCATCATATTACAGGTCCCCTTTATGCTCAAAGGGAGAGGATGGTGCAGGGCATGTACACTGGGGAATAGGAATGGTGGGGCCATCTAGAATTCTGCCTACCACAGAAGGCAGAAATGATATTTGAGCAGATAGACGCCCTAATGGAAGTGAGGAATCAAGCCATGAGGCAGAGCGAACAGCAATTGTAATGGTTTTAAGCTAGAAGCATGTTTAAGCAATTTTAAATACAGCCAGTAGACCAGTGTGGGAATAGTAGTTGGTGACGGGGTCAGAGAGTTAGCAGGGACCAAACCACATGGGGCTGTGTAGCCTGTGGTGACGACTTTGTTTCTCACTGTTAGAGGATGGGAAGTCATCAGAGGTCTGTGAACAGAGGAGTGATATGATCTGGGTTAAATTTGTAAAAGAGCACTGCGATTTCTTTAAAGAGAGTAGACCCTGTAGCGACCATAATAGGTGGCAGTGAGGGACCCTTGGCTGGCTACTTCTGTGGTACGGTGAGTGATGACTTAACTTGGACCAGAGTGAGGACTAATGGAGATGCAAGGCAGTTATTGGATTCTGGGCTGGGAAGAAATAACTCAAAGACTATTCAAAGTTTGGACCTTAAAACAGGTACAGCGTTACTATCTTCTGAGATGGGCAGGAGAGTTGGAATTGTAGGTTGGGATGGAATCAAGAACTCAGTTTTAGACATGTAAGTGTGAATTGTCTGTTAAATACCTATGGAGGAATGTCAGGTAGGTATTTGGTGCACGATTTCAAAGTTGTTTGGGCTAGAGACATAAAGTCAAAAACTGTTGGTACATATGGCATTTCAAGCTATGAAATTAGTGGAACCATTTAGGTAGTGAGTGAAGGCAGAGAAGTGGACCGGTACACTCTTCCACGTGGTGCTTAGAAAAACCATCCACTGACTGAGAAGGAGAGGCTGGTGAGGTAAAGGAGCGAGTGATGGTCATGTAAACCAAATGGAGGAAGTGCTTCAAGAAAGGGGTGAAAAGCTGCATCAAATGCAGTAGAGTGAGAACTAAGAATTTACAGGAATTTTACGTGTTTGGCAAAACAAAGCACATGCTTGACCTTGACAGCAATTGTTTCAATGGAGTAATGAGGACAAAAGATTGATCCTACTGGGTTCAAGGATAGTGGCAAGACAGAACATGGGGTTAACAAGGATAAATAACTTTTTAGTGCAGATAATTCTTGCTAGAAATTCTCTGTGGTAGAGGAAAGCAATGGAGTGGTAGATCAATGAGAATATGGGCTAAAGGAAGATTCTTTAAAAATCGTGTTTATAGATTAATGGGAATTATTCAACAGAGAAGGGAAAATTAAATGAGGGAGGGGACATTGCAAGACCTATGTCCTCAAATGAATAAGTAGGGCTGATGCCCAGGCATCATGTAGATGTCAGCCTTAGGAGAAGGGAGAGTTCACCTGTTAGACGGTGCAGCCACCATAACGGAAAGGCAGGCAGGGGAAGTGGGTGCAAGGAGATTGGAGGATTTGGGAGCGGAGGTGTGGAAGTCCTCTTCTGTTGTTTGAATGTTTTCAGTAAAATAAGGAATGTCACCGGTTGAGAGTGAGAAAGGAAAAGAAGGCATGAGATTTGAGAAGAGAGGAGAAAGAGTTTTGTAGAAGAGCAGGAGAGTACATTTTCTAGGGAAATATAGAAGGATTAGTCAGGTGCACCAGGGATCGCTTGAGGTTAATGGTTGTGATATAAAAGTGTCCCTGAAATGGACATCATCCTAATGCCCCAGAATGTATGTGTATGTGTATATGTATGGTTATACTTGAAATGGAAACTAAACATTTAAAAACGTTCATAGAGGATTCTATGTAGCCAAGAGCCCTGTTTTCAAAACATTGTTTAAGTCATAAATATGGGTCGCAGAATTGCCATCAAACTGATCTCTTGTGTACAGGATGACTGTCCCTTGCCCTCTTCTCCCACCCCACTACCCTTCAGAGGTCCAACTTCTTTCTCTTAAAGCCTTCAAAGCTATAAGCTCGTTGAGTTATCGAAACCTTGCCATCCAGTGTTGGTCTCTGCCATGCAGTTTCTTCATACCCCAGTCCCCATTTGAAATGTACTCTGGATCATTTGCACTGCCTCTGGGACTGAACAAGGTAGCTCCTAAACCAGCCTGTGGAAGAGGAAGTTTGAAGGCTGTTCTTGGCTAATGTTGATCACATTTTTAAAAATCCATGCCCTCTTTTACACCTTCCTCGTTTGTTTCAGTCTCCATGTCAAGACTATAATGTGTGTGTACAAATGTGCATATAGACATATATGCCTGCATACATATACATACATATATAGTTATATATGCCCTCATTCTCTTTGCAAATCACTGGTCTACACAGGGTGAGGCTGTCAGGAATTGGGAAACCGTAGGTTTGCCTTTCTTATTCCCGGAAGCCATCTGGGTGTGATAGTTATGTGTGTTGTGCCCCACAGGCTAGTGGGTAGGAGACTTCAGTTCACGCCACCCTTTCATCAGTCTTTAACTGATGCTATGTGGGTGGCTGTCTTCTCTACCTCCTGAAAAGGTCACTGTGACTTTCTTTTTGACATAGCATTTTATAGACTCCTCTGCTAGGAACATGACTTCTTCCCTCACTGAACAACTCCTACTCCCCTACCCCCCTTCAGCCTCACCTTCATTCTGTGTGTAGGAAATAGGGAAATATTTTACTTTTCAAAATATCACATTCTAAAAAATACATTGTGGCTACAGGTAATGTATTTCTCCATGATTTATTTATTTCTGGTGATCATAGGCAAACGACTGAGGAGGCAAAAAGGTAATTTCTTCTTTGAAGAATATTATTGCTTTAACTTGCTTTTAAAAGTGACCAGTTATATGTAATATTAGAGAATTAGGATTAAACCATAGATCTCAATGTTAAATGCTAGAGATAGTTAAAATGTAGATTTTTCTTTTATATGGTTTGCCAGTGTTTTCTTGTCCATTGTATATATGGTAATGCCATCTATAATAAAAAATAGAGTATCATAAAGTCTGGTACAAAATAAGGAAATCCTCCTAAACACATCTCAGGAGAAAAATACCAAGCGGGCCACTTTGTAATTTATATACTGTCAGTAGATGGTAATACAACTTTTGATTTGAATCAAACATTGTATAAATATTTTGCCATTAGTGCATTTTTCATAAAATAAAATAGTCATGTATTTGATATAAAACATGTGTTTCTTAGAATCAGGCTCAGTGACTTGGAAAAATGATAAACTTATCAGTTAAATTGTTAATTCCTTTGTGTTAGATGCTGTTCATACTTTGATAGTTTAGCCCTGTGGATTGCATTTACAGTTTTGCTGAAGGCAACCGTGACAATTGTCATGCATAGATACACTGGCTTGGTATGTCTCATCAACTTGTTCATAATGAATTTACCTTGTTGTTAGGTAGCAGTATCATCAGACCTTGATGGACCCGTTAAAGACCCCAGATCAACATGGTGGTTTCCTGCTTGAAGGGAAAAATCTCTAGAATAGGGTATTTATTTATTTTAACAAAAATCCTCCAGTATGACAGTGTGTAATTCAACTTATTATTTTAGTTACTCTGTTAAAAGGTGCAGTTAGCTATTTTTAAAGAACAGACTTAGTAAATTATGATTTCATAAAGAAAGCTAAATCTGTTAGAAACAACACTGATCACTCTTTTATCATTAGTATGCCCCAATTTTAATTCTATTATATTGTTATTCAGGAGGCATTAACATTCTTAAACTGTTCTCCAGCCTGTAAAATAGGGTTAATTGCATAATTCTTCCTAGTCAAGTGGCTGGGAGGCTTGATTAATTTTTCCCTGAAAGGTTAAATAGTGTAGGCATAGTGTTAAGTTATGCAATGCTTTTTTAGTACATGTTCTTTCTTTCCTCTCCAACAAACTACTTATTTACTGCTTTCTTTGTGCAAGGCTTTGTTGAAAATCCAAAGATGAATAAGACAGGGTTTCTGCACTCAAAGAGCTTACTCTGTAGGCGGAGAGATCAGATCCCGCACAAGTGACTGTAATACAAGGTAGAAAGTGATAAATGCAATGAGAAGAGAGACAAAAAGAAGAGCTGTGGGTAGTTAGAGGAAAGTGAGAGCCCTTTTGTCTGGATATTATCTTTGGTTTGCTTGTTTCCATAGTAACCAGTGTTTTTTTTTTTTAACAACCAAATTTTGAGAAGAGTAACGGGCAGGATGATTCTAGGGTAGTGTAGATTCTTTGGTAAAGACCACAGTCTGACAGTCTTAAATTATTTCTGACAAGACCACGTTTGTTTTTCAGTAGAGCGATATGTATTATTAGATATACAGTTCTTATTTATCATAATACTACATTAAAGGGATTGGCAGTAGTGGGTCACTGGTAGGGGAGGTGGGGGGGGCACATAATACTAATGAGGGTACTCGATCCCAAACCAGGCAAAGTGAGGACCAATGGGAGCCCCAGACTTCACCTGTACAATGACCACTTATGTACCTAACTCTGAATTGTACCCCACATTTAAAAATATATATGTGTGTATATATATATACACATACACACAGTTCTTTAATCTAAAAAATGTGTACTTAATTTTTTGGATGTTCTCCTTTGATTGTTTTCTTCCCTTTGAGAATTGGAGTCTTTATTGTGCATTTTGGCTTTATTGCTAGTGGTGTCCTTCAAAAAGATGAAGTACCTACTATGTGCACTACGATAAATACATTATCTGCTTTGTCGTGGTTAATCGCCATAGAACCACCATAACATCAATTATGTTGTAACTGACATTTCACGCATGAGGAGATTAAGGTCTGAAATCATGAAGTAATTTGTCTAACACTGTAAAGCTCATGAGATGCAGAAACAGGTCTTGAACCTAGGTCTGTTTAACATGTTGGTCCTATTCTCCACTTGACCCAGTGACCTTGCTCTATTCAGTTCCCATTTTGAATGCAGTAAGAACCTTCTATACTTGAGAACTGTTACATTTACCTGTCTTCTCATTAACATTTCACGTAGATACTCTTTTAACAGTGTTTCCTGATAAACTCATCATTAAATATTATGACAGGAATATCTGAAAATATTTTTCTTGGAGGAGATGCTGAAGATGCTGCTGAAAATAGCAACTACCATTTATAGTGTTTTAATAATTTTAAAAGCACTGTCACATCACTTGCCTGATTTAATTTTTCCTTCCATCCTTCATTTGCTGCTGACAGACAAAAAAGAAAGATCAGAGATGTTAAGTGACTTTCCTGCAATCACAGAGCTAATTCTCCAGCTGGCTGGCATCTGGGTCTCCTGATGCTAATTAAGTGTTATTGATGGTATGGTATAGGGAGATAGTATATATATAGGTAATATAGGATAGTATAAATTGTTGCCTTTTGCATATATAAAATCTTTCTGCTGGCAAACATGCTAGAAGAAAGGTTTGTATTCACAAAAATTTGGTAAATAAGGGAAGCAAAATAGAATGAAAAACCATTCATTGGGAGATAACACTTGTATTTTCCTGAAAATTGAACAAAAAGACGCTGTGAGTTCAAATGCTTTCAACAATAGGGAATGTATAGAGTTCTTTAAAGGTATATATTACTTCTTTATTTTCAAGCCATAAACAATCATCTTAGAAATTTAGAAAATCAAAACAAATTGAGAGGAAAAAAAATCAAGAATTAGATCATCCGTAATCTCAATACCCAGAGATAAATTATTATTAACCTCTTGATAAATATTCTTCTAGACTTTATTCCACATACATGTTAATGTGGAGTTAAAAATGTTGAATGCTATTGTGTAAACATTTTACTTTACTGAAAAACAATGTACACTGTTTTATAATCTGCTTTATTTTAGTAATATGTCCTGGATACCTCTGAGTATCAATAAATATGAATCTATACAATCCTTTATTTTTTTTGAGTTGGAATCTCACTCTGTCGCCCAGACTGGAGTGCAGTAGCCGCTCCCGGCCAATGCAGCCTCGACCTGCTGGGCTCCGGTGATCCTTCCGCCTCAGCCTTCCAAGTAGCCGGAATTACAGGCATGTGCTACCATGCCCAGCTAATTTTTGATTTATTGTAGAGATAGGGTCTTGCCAAGTTGGCCAGGCGGGTTTCGAACCCGTGGGCTCAGGCAATCCACTCACCTTAGCCTCCCAAAGCGCGGGATTACAGGCTGAGCCACTGAGCCCGGTTTACAATCCTTTTTAATGGCTTCCTTATGTTTTGATTAAATGTGTCAAAACTTTTGTTACTTAAAAAGTATTATCTGATATTTAGGGAGTTCCCTGTTTTTCATTATTGCTACATCTAAAAAAACTTTTTTTTTTTTGAGTTGGAGTCTCACTGTCACCCAGACTGGAGTGCAGTGGCCGTTCCCGGCCACCGCAGCCTCGACCTGCTGGGCTCCGGCAATCCTTCCGCCTCAGCCTTCCAAGTAGCTGGAACTACAGGCGCCTGCTCCCACACCCGGCTAATTTTTTATTTATTGTAGAGATGAGGTCTCGTCAAGTTGCCCATGCGGGTCTCGAACCCACGGGCTCAGGCAATCCACTCATCTCAGCCTCCCAAAGTGCTGGGATTACAGGCTGAGCCACCGAGCCCGGCTTAAAAACTTTTATGTGCAAAAATCACAAACGATATTTGGAAGCTGCTCAATAGGAAAATTCTTTTTAGTATTGAATTTTGACCTTAGTGAAATGCTCTTACACTTTGAGAAGCCTGAAGATTTATAACTGAGTAAGCTCAGTCTCAAAGCACATAGGGATTATTTAAGTGTTGGTTGTGGCTCTTGGGTTAGCAGAGGTTGTCATCATCTGTGTAGAGGCAGATACCATTTTCTTACTTTGTGTTAGGACTGAGTTCTTAGAGCAGGGCCTTATCTATGGCCCTTCACTGAGAAGTTACAAAATGGGATGATTTCTGAATGTAAGTAACTTCCTCACCAATGATAGACCACAAAGACAGGCTTTCATTTTGAAGCTGTCCTTTTAGGTTCTTCTTTCTAATGCTTATTCTTTTTTTTTTTTGGAGATAGAATCTCACTCTGTTACCCAGTTTAGAGTGCAGTGGCATGATTATGGCTTACCGGCAGCCTCAACCTCCTGGACTCAGACGATCTTCCCACCTCAGCCTCCCGAGTAGCTGAGACCACAAGTGTGCACCACCATGCCTGGCTAGTTTTTGTGTATCTTGTACAGATGAGATCTTGCTATTTTGCCTAGGCCAGTTTTGAACTCCTGGGCTCAAGCAGTTCTCCCACTGCAGCCTCCCAAAGTGCTGGGATTACAGTTGTAAGCCACCGCTCCCAGTCTTCTAATGCTTATTATTTATATAATCCTTCCTTGGCCACTTGCTGTGAGCATCCTGGGGTTAGAGGAGATAACACATGTATATAACAGTTGGAGGAGATGAGAGATCACCTTTATGATCTTAGAGCCTTAAACAATGCCTGGCATGTGATAGATTGATAAATGTATACTAACCTCTGTGGAAAACAATTTGGCGATTCCTAAAAGATCTAAAATTCAATCTTCCATACAACCCCTGAATCCCCCTACTAGGAATATACCTGAAAGAACTCAAATCACTCTGTGAAAAAGATACCTGCACACGCATGTTTGTTGCAGCATTATTCACAATAGCGAAAACCTAGAACCAACCATGCTGCCCATTAAAAGAGAACTGGATAAAAAAAGGTGGTACATATACATGATGGAATGTTATGCAGCCATAAAGAAGGACAAAATTATGAACTTTGCAGCAACTTGGATGGACTTAGCGTCTATATTACTGAGTGATCTATCACAGAAACAAAGAACTGAGTATCACATGTTCTCACTCATAAGCGGACCATGAACAATTATCATAATACTATAAGAAAGGGATTGGTAGCAGTGGGAAACTGCCAGGGGAGGAGACACACCTCATCAACAAGGGTACCTGTATAATGAACATTTGTATACCTAACCCTGAATTGTACTCCACATCTTTAAAATAAAAAATTAAAGTAAATAAATAAATAAATAAATATGTACCTCACACATGCCAACTGAAGGATTTTTAATGACAGGCATATTTTACAAACTTAATAATATCAAAATGCCTCCTGAGGTTTTTTTTTTTTTTTTTGTAGCTCTTTATTTTTGACACCATAGTGAAAATGTGTACAAAGAAATACTCCTTTGTTATATTTCTCCTTCAAAAAAACCCCAAGCAAGTCAATCCTTTTGACATAATCTCTTTTGTTCTTTTACGTACTCTGCTTTTAAAACAAAAGTGAACTTTTAAAGATACCCACTATTTTAAAGACATTTTCTCTTCATGCCTAATTGTGCCATAACATTAAAAGACTCACAAGAAGGAAGCAA